AGCCTAGGGACCTGAATTTAATCACTGGGACTCACATGGCAGAAAGAGAGAACTGACTCCCCAAAATTAATTGTTCTCTGACCTCCACATTCAAGTCTTCTAACACATGGGCACACACACATGTATAAAGACACACAGAATGAACAATGTAATTTTAAACACACACACACACACACACACACGGAGAGAGAGAGGGAGAGAGGGAGAGAGAGAGAGGGACTATAGGTCAATTAGTGGGGTGCTTGTGTTGAATGCATAAAGTTGTGGGCTCCATACCCAGCACACACATCTGTAATCCCAGCACTTGGGAGTAGAGCAAGTAAGGCAGGGTAAGGCCAGCCTGGGATACAAAGTCCTATCTCACCAAAACTCCATGATGAATAAAATAACTCAGTGTCTGTCTGTCTGTCTGGATCAAGCACATGCCCTTCCACCACTGAACTACACGTACCCATTCTCAACATTTCAAACAAACACCAGATCATTCTCTCAGTTGTTTCCTGGACTTAGGCCTGGCTCAGCACTGTATTGTTTACTGATCCTGCTTCCCCAGGCTCCTAGCTCGGAAGTCTAGTGACAGGAAATTCAAGAGAGTCGGGAATTCACTCTTCTGATGGGGTAAGGGAAGGGAAAGACCGACCCTGGAACAAAGCGTGACCTGTGGGTACATTTGGGTGGAAATAAGGAAATGGAGGCAGCCTGAATTTAAAGTCAGGGGGCAAGTGGCTTCAGGGTAACCAGAGTGTCCCTTACCATCTCAGGTCCAAGGCCTGTTATCCACACACATGCTCTGAGCCATGGCCTGTTATCCACACACATGCTCTGAGCCATGGCCTGTTATCCACACACATGCTCTGAGCCATGGCGTTCTAGTTCAGGGCTCTCCACGTTCTCTCCCGAGTTTTCCTGCCCTTTTGCACCATGAACCCCAGATGTGTCCCCATATGGGTGTGGGAGTTTGCTGCCTGTGTACCAGGGTAAGAACAACCGAGGAGGCGGGAGGGGGGCGGATACTGCTGGAGCTGGAAGGGTGGAGCCATAAAGGAGAAGACAAGAATTCAGAAAAGCAGGCTCACTTTCTCCCAGAAAGAAAATAAGAGCTGAGAAAAACTAAAGAGAAGAGAGAGAGAGATTACAGGAGCTAAAATTACAAGGAAGAAAGCTTGGCTGAGCATCAGGGGAAGATGAGCTCCCAAAAAGAAGCATGAACTTGCATATGTCAGGGAGCTCAGCTCCAAACTGAGGGGAGCAAGGGCCATTTAGACCGAACTCAGCAGATACCATTAAAAAGGCCCCCAGAGCCTGACAGACAGGAGCAAGGCGGTGTGGACATCCTCCCCCCTCAGCCTCCAACTCTCCCACCCAAGCGCTAACTAGGCCTAACTCTACCTAGATTCCATTAGGTCAAGCCAGTGGTGTTCAGAATGGTACTGCCATGAAATTGATCTCGTTGCCCAGACCAAATGATAATACCAAAGACCAAAACCTTCACTGTGGCACCAGGAACCGGGACAAAGAGTATTTGGAGATGGATTTGACTATTCTAAACAACCTGTGAGGCAAGGATCTCCGGAGAGCCTAACTGCTTTCCTTGCTGTATCCACAGTTGCCCTTTCCAATGTCATCTGTCAAAGAATTTTCCAGAAACACAGTATTCCAGAAAATTGCACAGTCAGGTGACTCAAAATCTAATGACTACTCAGTAAGCATGAATTAAGAAAGGAGATGCTATGGAGCTGGGGACATAGCTCAGGGGTCAAGCACTTACTTAGCATGTGGCAGGCCACCAGGTGGGGGTGAGGGTTGGGGAGGGGAGACAAGAAGAGGGAGGCTTTGATACCCAAACTGCATCAGACAGAAATACCTTAAAGAGGCCCATTGTCTACCTTTGTAAGCCAAATTAATTCATATGAAAACCTGAGATGAAGATCATACCAAATGTTGGATCATACCACTTAAGACTATGGACCTCAGGGACTAGAGGGGGTTGAGAATGTGTATGTATGTGTGTCTGCATGTGTATGGAGGGCAGAGGACAGCTTGCAGATGTCAGTTTTCTCCTTCTACTCCGTGTGGCCTGGAGGTCAAGCTCAGGTCACCAGGCACAGGGGCAAGCATTCTTGCCTGTTGAGCCATCTCAATAGCCCTACTACCTATTTTAAAATTTGCTTTGCTATTGTTGTTGTCATATGTGTATGTTTGTATGAGTGTGTATGGGATGTGAGCGTGTTGTGTGTGCAGCGGCGCACGTGTAGAGATCAAAGGTCTCCGCCTCCCAGCTTATGTGGGATCTGGCAATTGAACTCAGGTCGGCAGGGCTGCACTATCAGGCAGACAGCAAGCATCTTTATTCACTGAGCCATCTTGATGACCCTCGGTATCTACTTTCTTTTAAAAAGGATTTATCTGAAGCTGGGGGTAGTGTTGCATGACTTTAACCCAAGCACTTGGGAGGCAGAGGCAGGGAGATTTCTGTGAGTTTGAGACCAGCCTGGTCTACAAGAGTGAGTTCCAGGACAGCAGGGCTATATGGTAAGACCTTGTCTCAAAAAAAAAAAAAGAGAGAGAGAGAGAGATTCATTTATATCTTTATTTATGCATACATGTGTTTGTGTGAATGTGTGTGTGTGTGTGTGTGTGTGGTGCCCATGAGGTCAGAGGAAAGAACCAGATTCCACAGAGTTATAGGTGTTTGTGAGCTGCTGGGAACCAAACTCAGGTCCCTTGGGAGAGCAGGAAGCACTCTTAACTTCTGAGCTATTGTTGAGTCCTCTACTGTCTATAGATATATCCCTCAATTCAGTATGTATCACCTGAAGACAAAAAGTGCCACTTCTTCCTTCGGAATCCTAGTGCAAGAATAGTATATATTGGCACCCGTTTTGTGGGCAGTCGTGCAAGGAACTCCCCCTACATAGCTTCACTTCGTTCCCATGGCAATCCTTTTAGAGATGTTATTACTATTACCCCTGTCTCGTGGAGGAGAAAATTACAGTTCAGAGGTATGCATTCACTTTCATGCTGAGTGATGAATCTGGGATACCAACTTACAATTTCTGAGCCTAGAGAAATCTTGTGACAAGATAGGACTAGACCTGAGCCCAGGGACAGTGGGTAGATGGGCCAGACAGAGAAAAGGCAGAGTCACAGTGACAACTGTGAGTGGCCCAGAGCAAGGGTTTTGTAGAGTTTGGGTAGGTTTCCTAGTCATAGGGCCTGAGGCATTGTTTCTTTTAACAACTTGTGCTTCAGTTTCTCCCTTTGCAAACTAGGGGTGGTAGCAGCACCCACGCCCGTGTCACTGTGGGTAGCATTTCATGATATGAGCTTGAATAGCAGCTGGCCTTCACTGAATAGTCCAGAAACACTAACTTTACTGGTGCAGGAGAAACAGCACAAGTGAAGTTACGAAGAGTTGGAGTAAGAAGAATGAGGTGAACCCTTAGGGTTGAGTCAACTGAAGATGAGCTGTGCTGAGAAAGAGGAGGTGCGGGATCACACCGTAGAGTGCGGGGCTGGCACAGGGGCCGCACACTTCAGAGGACGGCTGCTCCTGCGACCCTGAGTTTGCCGCCTGGCACCCACATGATGGCTCACAGCTGCCGGTAAGGCATCTGGAGTCTTCATCTAGCCTTCATGGCTACTTGCACACACACACACACACACACACACACACACATACACACACACACACAATACATCTTTAAAACACCACTAAAATGGGGCTGGGGAGATGGTCCAGCAGTTAAGAGCACTGGCTGCTCTTCCAGAGGCCCTGGGTGGCAGCTCACGCCTGTCTATAACTCCAGTTCCAGGGGATCCTCCACCTTCACACCAATGCACATAAAATAAAGTAAAAAAAAATACTATTTAGAAAAATAAAGAGTGGGGCAGGGAGAGGTCAGGGATAAGAGCGCTTCTCTAGCAAGTTTGAGGCCCGATGTTCAAATGCTGGGGGTGGGGGGGGTTTGTTTCAAGAGACATCCATGTGAGTGGCTGTGTCCCTCTGTCATTGAACGGCGGACAAATGTCTGGAAGAAAGGAGGCAGTGAAAAAACAAACTTGTGATTGGGAAGATGCTGCGCATGGTGGCAAATGTCTGTAATCCCAGTACTCAGAAAGCTGAGGCAGGAGGCTCATGAGTTCCAGGTCACTGTCTAGCTGGCATTACACAAGGAGACTGTGGGACACTGCGGGGAGCTGGGGAGGAGAAGGAAAACAGAGGGACCCCCAGCACAGCTTCCTGTCCCTGCCTCGTCTCTACCAAGCAGAGCTGAATGCAGATGGTAACTGTCCGGAGCCGGCAAGCATGGTGTCATCTCTTCAGGAGTCACTGGTTTGGAAGAACGTTTGCTTGTCTGGCTTTAGATATTTGCAAACCCTTCCCAAAGACAAACCTTTTCAAACGCCCTGCTCTAAGACTGACCCACCTCTTGGGAGGTGAAGGCAGAGCTTGCTGCTGAATAGGCCTCATTGTCTTCCCATGTGTCTGTGGGTCCAGATGCCATGGGCCTGGGGGTGGCTCTCCCACAGGGCAGCCGTGCTGTGGCTGGCCTGCCAGCTTTGGTTCTCTCCAGAGACAACAGTTGAAATTTCAAACAGGCAACACATGGCGAGTCCAGGAGTCCCTGCCAGATTCAGACTTTGTTTTTCCATCATTTCCTCTCCTCCCACTCTGGTGTATGAAAAAAATCAAAACCACCAGCAGGACCAGCACCTGAGAAGGGGAAGGCATTGCCCAAGAGTTCCCAGGAAGAGATGGTCTTTGTTCTCATCCTCAGGCCTTCACAGTGCTAACAGCTCTAATTACTGCATTTGCCATACGACGTAAAATAAAACCGTGTCATCTCCTTGAGCGAGAGACAGAGGCATAGGGAGAGGTGCTCAGGGCCGCAGGTACGTGTTCTTTCCTTTCTGGTCCCTAGCCTTGGCAGCTATTTTGATAATTCAAAGCGCCATCTTATATGTGCATGGAAAAGGGCACTTTTACACGTAAAACGATGAATCTCACGGGCTGTGCCCACATAGTACGGGTCTGTATGCCTGGTGCTACTTTATGTGAAGCCTACTTCCTAAAAACATCAGGGTTTTCTCCCAAGCCTTCCAGGGAGAATGAAGACTCCAGAAGTTTCTGAGTTTCTTCTAAGATCATTTGATTATAAAATCTGATGATGTCCACGCCCACCTCACAAGCCAGGGGCGTCACAAATACTAGAGTGAATGGCTCTAAACTGCCTGCAAGCCAGCCAGAATCTAAACAGACAGCGACTTGCCCCAGAGAAGCAGACAACACATGCCACCCCTCCCCCACCACAGGGGGCGGGAGAGTACTCTTTCCCCTACTAAAGTAAATAAAATTTAAGGCAACCAAAATACGACAAGGTAATTTTATTTTCTTATTTTTTTATTTTTGGTTTTTCGAGACAGGGTTTCTCTGTATTGTTTTGGAGGCTGTCCTGGAACTTGCTCTGTAGACCAGGCTGGCCTGGAACTCACAGAGATCCTCCTGCCTCTGCCTCCCGAGTGCTGGGATTAAAGGTGTGCGCCACCAATGCTTGGTGAGGTAATTTTATTTTAAAAAAAGATTTATTATGTGTATGTGTGTAAGCCTAATATGCGCATCACATATATATGCATGTGCAGGAGTCCAAGAAGGCCAGAAACAGGCATGGGATCCCCTAGACCTGGAGTTGCAGGTAGCTGTGAGCTCCCATGTGGATACTGGGGGAACCCGGTCCTCTCAAAGAGCAGACAACTGCTGAGCGCTCTACTTCTTGAATGGGATATGTTTCTTAAAGAGCCACGTCTCTTTGTGTGATTAGATCTATCCCAATTGTTCCCTTGTTCCTAGTCAGTCCCAGGGAGTATGTTTTGGTCTTTATGGGCCCCAGAATGTATTACCCTATCGTGTAGCTTTACCAGGTTCTTGGTATCAGATTAGAAGGTGTATTCACGGTCCATCAAGATTTACCTGCTGTCATTTGTGTTTGAATGTGCATGAGTTATGACCACAGCTTAGACAGAAGAAACCTTGCAAGATTCTCCCATTCGAAAAACAAAAACAAACAAACAAAAAGATTCTCCCATTCGAAAAACAAAAACAAACAAACAAAAAGATTCTCCCATTCCTTTGCTATGGAGTCATCTTTCCAGTAGGCAAACTGTCTAATGTTCTTACTGAGCTCTTCCTGACTCCAGCTTCCTGCCCCAGCATGCAGTTCTTCAAGAACCAAAGTATCATGGTGATCTTTTAAAATTCACATCTTTTTTTCCCTTACTTGGTATGAAAACGGTCTAGATGAGCAGGAGGCATAAACCCCACCAATATTTCTAAGCCTTGGGGCAAAGGAACAGCATGTGAAATGATGTTAAAGCTAGTCTCTAACATACTGTCTAGTTTCTACATGGGAACTGTTCTTTAACGATCAATGAGAGACACAATCCCAGCATCCCCACCCATGGCTTCCGACAATACATCTCACTGAATACCAAGCTTCAGGAATGCTACATGGTCTCGCTGACATCAATGCAGTCAGAACGGGTGCAAAGCAGAACAGCGAGGTCCCAACACCAGGTGCCATCTCTTGTTGGGAAGTGGTAAAGAGCCATACAGCGCCTATTTGTCCTCTCTGGTCAAAGTTGTGCTCATATAGCAACTGCAAGGTAAATGCCCAGTGTGCCTCCCAAGATCAGAGAAGCAAAATCCTCAAAGGGACTGGAGCCCGGAGATAGTATAATAGTGAAAGGCATATGCTACCTATAAAGTTCATGTGTTTGCTGGGCAGTGGTGGCACACACTTTTAATCCCAGCACTCGGGAGGCAGAGGCAGGCAGATCTCTGTGAGTTTGAGGTCAACCTGGTCTACAGAGCGAGTTCCAGGACAGCCTCTGCAACAATATGGATAAACCCTGTCTAGAAAAAAAAAAGTTTATTTATATGTGTTTTCAGAAAAAAGGACCAGACACCAATGAAGACAAGTAGCCCAGATGATCCAGCCTCTCAGATGCCTCTGCTGCAGTTTCCTCAAAAGTCTGCATCCAGACAACTTCAAAGCTGCTGGCTGAGATGGCCAACCTCACAGACTACTCCAGCCAGGATTCAGATAAGCTCTACACTTCCCATTTCACTGAGACTAAACAAAAAGTAATACAGCTAGCTCTCCCAGGACACTTGACCATTATCCCAGTTTTCTCAGGGTCCCCTAAAGATGCCATTGCCCCCAGATAGCAGGAAGCAGTCTAGAGAACACAACACCCACATTCCCAAGAGGTGGGGCTTTTGGTCGTTTGGTGAGTTATGGATGTTTGTCATTGTCTGGGTGGTTGATGGTTACAAGTTGTTATTGGTAATGGTCAGGAAAAAAGATAGACAAAGAAGATTAGATTCAAGTATCTCTTTTTGAAGGGAAAAAGGGGGGATATAATATAAAACTTGTGGGATAAAAGGGTAGATTATTAAATCTAATTTCAAACTAAAAAAAACCCATTAGTCTCAAATATTTTACATTGGCATGGATTTTTATATATCAATACAAATTTAAGGTTATTTTTGTTATACTGTATATGTTTCTACTCTTGTTTAAGGTATTGTACCTATACAGCTCATTTAATAATGCAATACAAATTTCTAGTCCTTGGAAGTTATTATTAAAAACTTTTTAGGATAATTAAGAAATACAGGTCATCTGTAACAATCAGTCTTATAGTCATGTTAGGTATGTTTGCAATGTGAAACAGATGTATTTTAAATAGATGGTCTTCAAACATTTCAAAGACCTAGAGAATACAGCATTTAAAGGTTAATAACAGAAGGCTTTTCATGACAGTGAGACACATCTGCTCCTGGCAGCACAAATCTTCTTCAGAAAAGGAGGATGGACATGGGAGAACCTTTGCCCTCATTTTTGGCAAAGTTAGTTACTGGGCAAAGAAACTGCCCCTGCCTTGACTGCTGACACTATGCTGTCCAAACTGGACAAACAGGAAACAAAAGAAAGTGACTGCCAAACTTTGACAAGACAAGGTAGGACAGTCCTTCAAAATTCCTGCTTCACAAAAGTCTGCCAGATGTTCTAGGCCTATAGGCCAAAGATGCAGAGGAAGCTCGGGCGACTGTTCCAGCAGCTGGATGCCTTTTCATTTCTATAGTTTTGGAAGTTGCTTGCTCTGCACTTCCTGTTCAATCAGGTAACATATTCTTCTTGGATCTTTGATGGGGTTAAAGACTACATAGTTATAGTTACAGTTTTCTATGTTACCAAATCAAAAAAGAAATTCCCAAAAAATATATAAAGTAGCCAGCTGTTGGTGGCCCACGCGTTTAGCATTTAATCCCAACACTCGGGAGGCAGAGGCAGGCGGATCTCTGTGAGTTCAAGGCCAGCCTGGTCTACAGAGCAAGTTCCAGGACAGCCTCCAAAACAATACAGAGAAACCCTGACTCAAAAAAACAAAACAAAACAAAAATATATATAAAGTATATAAGGTTGAGAGATATAAAAGCTTAAGACATTTAGCTAAAAAGGTCTAAAAAGATTGCTTTGGGTTGGTAATACAAGTTAGGATGGAAAGTAAACTAGGTAGAAAACTTTACTTACCAAGATATGATAGGTAATAAAATATTTTCTCTAAATTTGAAAATATAGATAGGCTAGATATTGTAAATGTAATTCTTTCCTGATGATTGTTCTTAATGCATATAGTTTTACTGGGTTAGAGTTAAACCCTTTCCTTTTTAGACAAAAGGGAAAATGTTGCAGGATATTTGTTTACACTGTGAAGATGTGTTTTTGCCAAGCACCTTCTGATTGCTTTAATAAAGAACTGAATAGCCAATACCTTGGCAGGAAGAGGTTAGGCAGGACTTCCTGGAACAGAGAGGACTCTGGGAAGGAGAAAGGCGGAGACAGGAGACATAGAGGACACAAGTGATACAAGATGGAAGAGAGGCAACTCCATGTGATAGAATGAAGATTAATATAAATGGATTAAGTTATAAGAGTTAGTTAGGAACAAGTCTAAGCTATAGGTCAAGCTTTCATAATTTTAAAAAGTCTCCATGTCATTATTTGGGAGTTGGCTGGCAGGAAAAAAAAAAAAAAGACTTTACAGGTACAGAGACTCAGAACGAGAAAGGCCAAGAGCAAGTGGTCAGTCGGCCAGCTGCTGGGTGCCCCAGAGCAGAGGGCCTGCAGGTGACCGGTGACCACCAGCAGCCAGATTTTACTATATAGATTCATATATCCAGGACATGAAAACCCTAAAGCTGAGGTCAGGACTGGGGTGGAAAGGTTCCTGGGATAGAGGGGTGGAACACCTTCCATCTACAGATGCGTAGTTAGGGGGTTTGAGGTTCCTCCTGTGCTTAGTTCTGTAGGGCAACTTCATACTCAGAAGGAAGTTGGCGATGAAGGGAAAACAGACAAGAAAGGTGGGTAGTACGCATTTATGCATACACACCCAAGACACCTATAGCCTGCAAAATTCCAGAGAACTCGGCAGTCAGAGGCCTGACCTGGTGAGCCCAGTTCTGTTGCCTCATGGTGACCACATGGTGACCATCAGAGCTCAGAGTATGTTCAAATCCCAACTCTGACAAGTCTGTCTTGATTTTATCATATAAACGGATACTGGCCCTTCTCTCACAGGGTGCCATAAAGATGAAATGAATTAATACATGCAAAAGCTTTTTGGACAGTTTGGCAAAGAATAAATAATTAGGAGCTTGCTTAGTATGCAATAGATGCCAACTGTGGTCAGGAACTCCGGCTTTGTGATCTTAGGCAAACCAGCTCTAATTTCCCTGCCTTTAAATCTGCCTCTGTGACTTCACAGGGTCATAGGGAACACAAAGTGGCAAATGCAAAGGTATTCAGTAACTAGACTGCTAGGCACATGTTGGTTGTTGCTGTAGTGAAGACTCTGAGACACAAATCCCTGATAATTATTCTGAGCTCCCAAGTTTGAACTCTGACATCTCTGCTTTCTTCCTGGCACTGACTAAAGAAAGTTCAAAGGGAAAAAGTAACAGTCAGCCAAGATCTTGAGGACACACACACCAAACATGTAGCCGCTACCCAAGTGTTGTCCAGGGACAGTGGGATGACAGCCTGGAAGTGCTGGACATTGCTTTCTGAAACCCAAGAGGGACAGCAGTTGGAGGACATGCCAACCATCTCTGGTATCCCCGTCCAGGGTTCCAGGCTCTGTACCATGCTGTGGCAGAGCCCATGTTGTGAGATTCTTCTGAAACCCCAAGAGGTAGAGATTGGAGCTAGGCAGTCATTAAACAAAGGCTCTGGGAAGCTCTGCAGAGTCAGCTGCCACCAAGAGTACATAGAGGAATTTGGAGCTGGGCAGGGAGTATAGTTGCTGTCCCTGAGAAATGGCCCAAGCTAAGATAAAAAATAATGGGAACTCATAGGCTTGGATGTCTTCTGCAGCATGTTTGAAAAAACAAAAAACAAAATTGTGCTCTTCACCTAGTCTCAGAGTGCTTTATGAACTAGTAACTACCCTCCCAGGGAAGAGACAACATTCCCAGGCTTTATTATTATTTGAAGACAGGATTTCTACACAGACCTGGCTGTCTTGGAACTATGTATATCAGGCTGGCCTTGAACTCAGAGACCCACCTGCCTTTGCCTCCAAGCACAAGAATTAAAGTTGTAAGCCACCATGCGCAGTTGGGTTTTCGGGTGGGCGAGAGGGTGGGGATATGGGACAGGGAAAGGCAGCTATGGGGGATTAAACCTAGGGCCTCCATTGCTGGTAGGTGCTCTGCCATCAAGCTGCATACCCAGCACCTTTTACTTTTTTGACACAGGGTTCCATTAAATTGCACAGGCTAGCTTGGATTGAACTCTGTACTCCAGGCTGGCCTGAAGTTGTGGTCATCTTGCTTTAGATCCCTGCCACACACTGCTATGCAAGGATAAAAATCCAGGCCCTAGAACACTCTGATGACTGGAAACGCCCCACACCTTGGACTCTGTTAACAGAAGCAGAAGTTCCGAGGAAGCCTCTGAGTAAGATGGTGCTAAGAGCACTGGCCTGCGAAAGGCAGCAGCAGGCTCTAGACTTTAGCCAGCCACAGCAATGACCACATGCGACACAAACTTGATAAAATTGTATTTTTTTTACAGTCATTTGTACAATTTGTTACAAAACCATAGAAGACTACAACTTGCTTTAAATCATTTTTGGTCTGCAAATATGTAAAATCTGTGTGCAATTATCATGGTATTTACAGGGCCTTGTTAGTCATTTTCAATGATTATTTTAACAATGTCACACTCTCAACATAAGACATGGCTTAAGATAAATATATTAGTAAATAAATATTCTGAGAACATATTTCCATAAATGAAATGTGCTGCTATACATATACAGAATATACACAAGTTGTTTTCTAGCTTTAAAAACAGTTTTTCAAATGGTAATGTTGAAAAGAGCCCTTAGACCATTTTATCACAAAACCTTTACAGCAAAGTCTTTACAAAAATCTTAAGTGCTATGGGAGAAAAAAAAAGTGTCCTGTTAGACCAACAATACAAAAAGTTTATGTAAGGAATAGAAAAAGGTAGATTCATTTAAAGGATGATACTTTCAACTAATTCTTTTATAGACCACATTTTAAAAGCGTTAGTCCTGTGTGAACTTTGAGACCAGAAGACAGAGGGGAGGGACTGAACCACAGGACTGAAGACGGAACCTAGTAATATGGCTTGGGCCTGAAGGAGAGGGGAAACTGTCAGCTACAGGGGCTGAATGCCCACACTTCCATTTCCATCTGATTCTAGAGTTGTACAGTTTTATACCCAGGGCTGACAGCAAGCTCATACTTGCTCTCACACACTTAGATGGTAGCGGGGTTCCCAGGGGAAAGTGTGGTGCTCCTTGTCCATGACTATGCAATTACCATACACTACTGACTTGTATCCCCTTCCACTCCCCAACAGAGGATACTTGTCACCAATATTAGAGTCTTAGAACTTCAAAGACACTGTTTCTTTTTATTTAAATGGTGACATAAGATAGTTGACAGGTGATTTTGTTCCTTTTGTTTCTACTACTCCCAAACTATAACAATGACAAGTGTCTGTCCCATCTCCCTAGCCCCTGCCATCACCACTCTTTCAGAGGAGGCTGAGCTTGTTCATCTGACTTCTTCCAGTGGCATTCAGATTCTCATTTATGCACTGTTTAAGATGACTCAGAAGTGATATTCTAGCCAGGACCAAGACAGCCCTTTCTGGGGTTTGTTTCAGCCAAGGGAGAGATATGCACGTGCAGACACTAAAAACAAAAAAGCAAAACCAGAAAAGACAAACAACCTAACAGTGAAACGCTGACCTTTGCAGTTCACATGAGAAACTGCCCCCACTCCCCACTGCACAGCAAGGCAAGCTGTCGTTCTTAGCAGCTGCAGCTCCTGGCCCCAGAATAAAGGCAACCTCGGTCACATGTCAACAGCTTAGGGCCTTCTCACACCCTTTCCAACAGGTGCACTGGGCACAGGCTGGAGGAGGAGCCCTCAAGGGACAGACCCCCAGAGTTGGGCAGAAGGACACATTTCACCATGGCCTCTTCCTATAGGGTTAAATGGCTGAATCATCTGATGTGGGACTTCTGTCAGATCCTGGCTAGAAATAATCAATGTCCTCTCCTTAGGATGGGGTTTTAAAGAACAAAGCATTCCGATAGTCTTGAAATGTACAATCTGGCCCCTGCGTCAACTTCCTGGGAGTCTGACTGGGAGAGGGGTTATTTCTGTCTCTGGCAATCCAGGGTGATCCCCTTTTCCCCAGGTTCCAAGGTTCCATTCCGTAACTGAGTTTTCAGACCTACTAGGCCAAACTCTTTCAGATGGCAAAAGGTATCTGCTAAATCAATGAATAAAAGTGACCAGAAGAGTTATTGACACAGGGCCAACACAATTAGTTTCCTCTAAGGAAAAGAAAACATTTTTAAGAACAAGGACTATATTGGACAAAAAGGATTACAATCCCTGAAGTAGTTTTAAATAGATTATCTCTCCCTTTTAAAAACAAACAAAACATCTTAAAAACAATAGCAACAAAAACAACCAAAAATGGTTTGGGTTTAAAAAAAACTCTCCCTTCCCCTTAAAAAAGAGGAGGCTGGAAAAAATATACGCATGCCTCCCCTTTGGGTCTGAGCTATCTGATAGTCTGTCCCATGGAGAATCAGTACATATAGTGCATCTGGCAGACAGGCCAGCAGACCTCTGCTGGTGGAATGAGCTACTGCAGCCACTAGGCAGAGGCCTGAGGAGCCTGAAGCCGTTTTCTGGGGATGGGAAATGGGTTCAAATGGAGCTTAGTGCACACCCGTGGGTCAAGCATGTGCCCCTTAGAAAGGCACCCGAAGGGGGCAACAGTCGAGGGTGTGGCTGCCCCCAGACACATGGGCACAGTTGTGCCCAGCATGCCTTTCTTCAAGGGGAGGTACACTGCTGTTGGGTGAGGAGCGCTTGTTCTCTGCAGGGCACCACGGCCACAAAGCAACATTCCTCCTGGGGTCTGCCCTGCACACCCATTCAAACCACCTCTGCAACTGATGGCACAAAGCCCAAAACAATTTTACAGAAGACTCCAGAGCTGGACAGCTAGACAGTAAGGCTGAGGGCATCTCTCCCCCGCCACAATGGCCAGAGTGCAGAAGAGAGCCTAGTGACAGTCCCAGATTATGCTGGGACAAGGACGATGACCCAAAGGAACAGAAGAGAATGGGCACAACCGTCCCCAACAACCTGGGGCCCAGGCAACAATGGCTTGACACCTCCCCTTTCCATCCTGTTCCTAGCAGTGTCCATGGCTGCCTACAGGTGTGGGCAGGAAAGGTGTGGCTTTCCAGAAGCCCTGAAGTCCAGATTTGCCTCAATAAGGGGAAAAAGGAGAGGCAGCTTTGCATTGTTCCTCAGAGTTTGTACCCCTATCAACTAACTTTTTACTTCAAGTTTCTGGTTCATTTTCAATAAGGCAGGTGTAACCCTGAGCTTTTCAAAGGCCTGAGGTCCCTCCAAGGAGACGACAGTATCGACACATGATGTGGTTCATTTAATGCAGCAGTGACTTTTTTTTTCCTTTTTAACAAAAGCTGGTTTTTAGGGTTCTTTAAAATATATATTTAAATAACTTTTTACATTTACATATAACATTTTAGAAAAAAAAAAGCAGAGAACTCAATCCCACACACCTCAGAACCCCAAGCACACATTACAAAATAGAGTAACACATCATTAAAAGAGGCAAAGGACTCAAGATTTTGTCTGTTGGTTTGTTAATGGGGAAGGGATGCCACAGGTGGCTCACATTTTGGGTTGAGGAGGGCTGTCTTTATTATCACTTTTGTGTTTGTCAAAACTAATATATATTAGTTTTATATATTAGTTTTGAAGGAAGCCAGACTTTGAAGTCTCCGTACAGTTCCTGATTTTTACAAAAGAGTTCCTTCTGAGCTCAAGCTCCCGTACCGATGCCTGGGCCAGATCCTGGTCCTGGGAGAGAGAGGGAGAACAGTCATCAAGGTTGTAGAGAGCCGGCACAGCAAACTTTGGGCAGTATGTACCAGGTAAGGACCTCGAGCATTTCTATTCTGTGTATAGGGCTCTTGGAAGTGACAGTTCACAATGGTGTGTGGACTACGTGAGTGATAAGGGGGAGGGGCAGCAATGGCTTCTTTCCTGAGGGGCTCAAGTCTGGGGGGAGGGCAGGTCTCCCTTGTTTGGCTATACAGAGTCTTCTGGAAGCCCTACGATGTCATGGAAGCATAATGTAGAAAAAGTGAATAATTCTTAGTGGCATGAAAGAGCAGGAAGACCCCTCCCAGGCCACACAGACCTTCCCATAAGGAAGGGAACTAGCAGAGGGAATGAGAAAGGGAGTCCACTTAGCTGAGATCAAGAGGTCTGGAGGTGAAGCTGGACCTGACATGCTGCAGGGATGGAGCACAGGCTGGGTCAAGCAGAGGAGGCAAGTGCAGCAAGGTCTGTGAGGAGGACGCTGCTAAGAGGCACAGGGATGGACTAAGGGGACAGGAGATGCAGAAGAGCTGACAAAACAGAGACTACTTTTGGGATGGGAAGCATCTGAGGGGAAGAGATGCCAACATCCTGGATAGAGGGTTTGAGGATGGGTGGGGCTGGGAAGCAATGTTTGAAAGCCAGCAGGTACAGAAGCCAAACAGTAAAGGCCTGAGAAGAAGACTCCTATACAAATGCCTACTATCGTGTGCTCTCACCTGAAGCCTCAGCAGCCAGGACACGGGACTCCTGAGTGTCCTGGGGGGCACTGGAGAGGCTAGCCCTGGAAGCATCCGCCTCCTCTGGAGAGCAGCCAGGTTGCAGTGGCACCTCAGCCTGGTAGCATGGAGCCTGTTCCTCTTCCCGGGTCGTCCCCAGACTCCAGTGGAGTCGGGGGACGTCCAAGCCCAGCATCCCGCCCCAGGGACTGTGGCTGTGCATCCCTTGGCAGTCTTGAGGCAAGCCCGAGTCACAGTCTACATCCTCTGGGATAATGGGGATGCGCGGGCTCAGGTCCCGGGCTCCTGCATAGCAGCTGGGTGGGGGCTCCTCAGTGAGCGTGTACTGCACACTCACGGAGTAGTCTTCAGTGTAGCAGCCATTGCCCCTGCCAGCACTGTGGGCCACCTGCTTCTCTTCATAGAAGCAGCAGGGCAGGCCCTCATATTTCACCCCATCTGTCCTGGGAAAATGGTCTGAGTGAAGGCCATATAGGCCCTGGGAGCTCCCTGGTTGAGGCTCCCCACTTGTAGGGTTGCAGTCCTCAAGGAACCGGGGACCCAGGAATAAGGTGCTGCCACTGGCAGCTGCTCCAGTCCCGTGGCCCAGGGAAGAGGGCTGGGGATCAAAGCAGCAACCGCATGATGGTCCCTCTGGGCCCCCTTTCCAGGTCCTCCTGAGGTCCAGGGCGGCCCCAGGAGAAACCTCGAGCCCCACTTCTGAGGTAGAGCTGTTGGGCCCTCTGGGTTCCAGCGAGGAGTTGCTGCTGTAGTTCATCTCCAGGCTGCAGGTGGACAGCTGGTCCCCCGAGGGAGAGGCAGGGCCAAGCCATGGCTCACCCCGCCCAGCACCTTGACTGTGTGCTGCTGGAAGCTCCTCTGGTGGTGGCGAGCCTTCAAGGTGTACAGCGGGCCCCCGGCTACGGTAGATGAAGGGGTCGTAGTCGCTGCTGAGGGAGCTGCGGAAGGTGGAACAGCTCCCATACACACCTTGGTTGCTGACTTCTGTGCAGTCCACCACGGAGTCACTGGAAGAGCAGCGGCACTGGCCAGAGCTGTTGCTGCTGCTATCACTGCCCGGACAGTCTGCCAGATAGCCACTGCACACAGAGCGGTGCCCGTGGTAGCAGCTGAAGCTGGAAGTGCTGCCACTCTCCACGTGGGTGGGAGGGGCCATGTGCACCACTGTAGGGAAGAGCAGACTGCTGCCACCACTTGGTGGGAAGGCACGGGATGGGCCCCTGGGTGTGAGGCTGGGGATTGGCTGGCCCTCCTGCTCTGGGTAGCTGAGACCCTGGAAGTAGTAGTGTTGGTACATGGTCTCATACTGGGAGAAGCAAGCTGCCTTGGAGAAGCTTCGACCACTGAACTTGGGCCTGCGGAAGGGATGGGCTGGTGAGTAGGCCCGGTGTTCCAGGCTGCAGCGGTGAGGGGCCAGAGTGTGGTCCAGGTGCAGGGGTGGATAGCCACGGATATAGGTGGGGGTCTGTGGAGAATAGAGGTTCTGCTCCCCATGCCGGTCCATGGTCAGCAGTGTGACAGGATTGCCATGGGAGTCCATCCTTGTCCTGGTAGGGTAGGCTGGGACGGCATTGGTCCTATGCACACGGCCTGGGTAATGTACTGGCAGGGTCACTCTTGGCTGCCGACCACGTGTAAGGTTGCTGGTCCCCACACAAACAGCACCCGGGTTTCCCTTTTGTTCTGGAAGAGATGGAGGAAATAAGGTAATGGGGCAGAGACTGAAGCATCAGGTGAGGCTATGTGCCTGGGGGTCTATGCTTGACCCTGCCACATTGTAAACTGTCTCCAAGTTCACTGAGCTGACAGAGGCTCATCTGTCTTCTTCCCATCTCCCCACACAGAGTCTACAAGAGCAAAACAAACACAAAGATGGAAATGTCTCCTGCCCTGCCCTGTGATGATGACCCTGCTACTGCATATTCATCATCTCTTGTGTCCCTAGAAACAACTCTGTATTCTAGGCCTGGCAGTCAACATCACCGTCTCTGTTAAAAGACACAGAGGGCCTTAGGCCTAGGGAGGACAGGTCAGGACGCCGGGGTTTGCTGTTTTTACTTTCCTCAGACACGTACCCTGCCCTGGCCTCCGACTTGCTATGTAGCTAAAGATGACATTGAACTCCTGCCTCTACTTCCCAAGTGCTGGGTATACCATGTGCACACCACCACACCCAGCTAGATCCTATTTAATTGGAAACCCAAACTTGAACACAAGATGATTTTCTTTAGAGAAGGGGGAGTACTGGGGTCCAAACTTGGGACCTTGCACAATCTAGGCAACAGTCGACTTCTGAGCCACATCATCTGCCCCTAATTAATGCCAGACTCTGCTTAGAACTGTACAGCCACGTTTCAAAACCCAAGGCCTACTACACACCTGCAGGTTCAGAAGAGCACCCTGTGTTGGTTCAGTTTGCTCCCAAGTCTGTAGCACGCATCAAGCACCTCTCGTACTTGGTGGGCCTGTAATAATTACCTAGGATATTGTGCCGACAGTGGGGGCAGGTGTGGTGCTGCAGCAGCCATGGGTCTACACATTTCCTGTGGAACCGATGGGTGCAGGGGATGACTCGAAGCTCCTGCGAAGGGAGAGGGAAGCAGCATGAAGGACGGACTGAAGGGAAGGGGCCTCTGCTTTTACCTCACACATGGGTCCTGTGGGGTCTGAAGAGCCCTGTGCAGCACTGCTTTGGTGCTCTCCTGCTGTGGTGTGGGTCTTCAGTGCTCCTAGCTTGGCAGTACCAGGAAGGAAAGAAGGCCTAGTGGGATCTGGGTTACTGCCTTCCTTTTTTTGTGTTCTCTGATAACCAACTTTCAAACTTTATTTATTTTAGTTTTTGTTTCTCTGTAGCCCTGGCAGTTCTCGAACTCACAGAGATCCGCCTGCCACTGCCTCCCAAGTACTGGGATTAAAGGCGTGTGCCACCACCTGGTTTATTTATTTATTTTTAAGCTTGATGACAAATTTTATTAGTGATAAAGAGAAAACTTTCAGGGCAGGAAAGCAGTGTATTTCAGTAGTTGCTCAGAGGAGATTGGAGGAGAGAAGTCATGCCACTTGAATTAAGCTGACATAAGGTCAGATACATGGAGTAAGGGATAAGAAAAAGGAGAAGGTACATTTTTGTGACTAATTCAGAAACACAGAGTTACAAAACAGCATAGCTACATCTTATAAGAGACTGCCTTTATTTTACTTTTAATTAAATGTACGCATGTTTACATGTCTGTATTTGAGTGTAGTTGCCTGAGGAGGAACAAGAAGGTGCTGGTTCCCCTGGAGCTGGAGTTGCAGGTAGTATGGGCTTTAGGAATTGAACTCCGATCCTCTCCAAGAGATGCCTAACTGTGGAGGCATCTTTCCAGTCCTATCCATCACATGTTCTTGTCGTGCTGTGCTGCCCCCTGTATGCCTAAAGGATTGTAGTCAAATGACCATGGGCTAAAATGTCCAAAACTATGTGCTCAAACAGACCTTTGCTTTTACATGTTTATCACTGCAGACGTTTGTTACAGGGATGGAAAGTTAAAACATTTCCTACTCTCTCCCCAAACTCTAACTAAAACCCAGTTTCATTCCTTGAAGTAGGGCCAATAGGGAAAAGGAAACTCTCAATCCCCTTGGCCTAATCATAGACCTCAGGGCTAAAGGACAAGGAACACAGGGGAGCAGGTTCCCTTCCAGGAGCTGGAGGGCATATCTAACTCCAAAGCTTCAGGCTAGGGAGCGTAGGAGAGTTACAAACACCTAGGTAATCTATGTTGGTGTATGTGCTGTTCTCAGCCTATGGGCTGCAATTCCCCAACCCATCGGAAAACACAGATATTTACATTACAATGCATAACAGTAACAAAATTATAGTTATGAAGTAGCAATAAAAATAATTTCATGGTTGGGGTCACCACACATGAGAACTGTTTTAAAGCATTAGGAAGGCTTGAGAATCGCCTGACCATCTACAGATGGTTGCTTTCTAGGCACCCTTGAAAGAGGTCAAGTGGAAAGAACACTTACTGGGGCCACCTGGCTTCTAAGGAGAGTAGCCTATGACACAGTGTGATGGCTTTCCAAACACCCTCTTGACTGTTCTTGTTTTGCTTTTATTTTCTCACCAGTCTGACAGTGATATTCACACCAACAACCAATGTGGTGCTTTAGAATACCTGTATCTTCTCACTTAAGTAGCCTTTGCAAGCATCTAGTATGTTGATTGGCATCACAACTGCAGACACAGGATAACATCACTTGCAAAGTTCACAAACCAAGAACCTGCCTGGGCTAGGTTGGAATTCAGGAGCCTGTACCCACAGCCCATGCAAGAGTATCATTACAAGGGCTGTGTGCAAACACTTAGGCCCAGCAGTCTATGCATCAGCAAGTGCTCTCAAACAGGGCTGTCTAAGGCCTGGACTCTCAAGCAGTTTGCTACCTCCTTTGTGTGTATCTGTAATATAGCAAATGCTAATGACAGGTGGCTCTAGGTGAATGCTCTATGCTGCTTCTTTTTTGTTTTTTTTTTTTTTTTGGTTTTTCGAGACAAGGTTTCTCTGTGGCTTTGGAGGCTGTCCTGGAACTCACTCTGTAGACCAGGCTGGCCTCGAACTCACTGAGATCCGCCTGCCTCTGCCTCCCGAGTGCTGGGATTAAAGGCGTGCGCCACCAACGCCCGGCTTGCTGCTTCTTTCTTGCAACTTTTAAATGTTTTGTTCATTTTACATACCAACCACAGTTCCCCCTCACCCCCAATCTTACAACTTTTAATAAAGAGCTATAAGAGAAAACAAAGGCATCAAATCTCTTGACATTTTCCAAGTAAACACACCACATAACCACTTCTTCAAAGCAAAGCAAACAAATTGTTCTTATATTTATGTATTTTCTGTCTAACCATGTACTTTGTTTGCTTTGATTTTGGAGCCAGGACCTTAAACTCACAATTCTCCTGATTAGTCTCTCAAGTGCTAGAATGACTGGCATGCGCAATCATGCCTGACACCCACGTACTTTTGATCAACTTCTAAAGTCACCCACTTAGCCAGACCGTCTATAGAGTATTGTGTCTTCCCAGCCCCTAGGAGAAATCCCTCTAAAAGCCTGGGCACTGTGACTGTGGTGAGCTCTTGTTATGGTGGTCCTGCACTCTGGGCGTCTGTACCCTTCCACCCAGACAAGCCCTGTCTCCACCACTACCTCTCCATCGATGTACTTCTCCAGACAGATGGCACAGTCAGACGTGGACCCGCTGCTGAGTGTGTCCAGGGCCCCGCAGCTTCCTTCCCGGCGCCCCTTGCTCTTGGAGTTGAACTTTCTGGTTTCCATCTTCTCCAGAGCCTGCACGGCCAGCCTATTCATGGAATTCTGCATGGTAGAGCATGGTCAGTGTTGGTACACAGTAACAGTGGTAGTCACACCCCAGGCCATGGCACTCAGGACACTGGGAAAGACAACATAGTCTCACTCAGGTCAAACAGATTCTTGAGAAACTGCTCAAACTCATCCTGCCATTGCATATTGCCCATGACATTGGTCCAGGTTTTTCCCAAGTGACCCTACTCCAAAGTCTCGCCTTCAAGGCAAAATGCAATTCCCTCTCTCTGGTACTTCCCAATTCTGTGGAACTTGGTTTTAGTCCTCCTTGATGAAGGAAGGTAGGGAAATGAGAGCTCACGTGAGTGCTCAGCATCTGACACACAGGGTGAGGACATAAATACTGGCCCATAATGCCTGTTCTTGCTGGTGATGGTCCCGCAGCCTTCCTGACAACTGAAGTCACTTTCCTTTGACTGTCACTCTCTAAGGTACTTGCTCTCCCAAGGTGTCATACTGCCACACATCTCAAAGCCTAGATTCCTGCTTACCTCCTCTCACCACCCTCTGCCTGCAGGTCGTTCTTTCTTGTAAGTTGCAGTGATGGATTGGCTAGAGTACTACTATGGCTATCTGTTCTCCAAAACAAAATTTATTTGAAAATTTCCCTCAAAATACTAGCTTGGAATACCCCCAATGCAGGCCTGCTCTTCTCAACATAAGGGCTCAGTACCTGAAGTCTGGTATTCTCCATGCCTCTGAAAAAAGTTGGGTGCCACAACAGCAGGCTGGCTTGACCCCTAACTTTCATCAGCAACAGGGCAATGGGGCTCACAGGTTGTTCTTAGGGGTTACCTGACTACGACGCTGCTTCAGCTTGATCTTGACAAGGAGAATGAGGCAGACCAGGGATACCACGACGAAGAAAGCTAGGAAAATCCCCATGTCAAAGTACTCAGTGGGTTGCTAGAATAGAACACAAGTGACATGAGCACGTGGGCTGTCAGTCCTGGTCAGGATGAGTGAGCACAGGGTCCCTTAGTGTGCAGGACGCTCTTGGGTTCTGCTCACATGAACACTGTGATGGTGCCTTAGCGTGGCCAGGATGAGGGTGCGCGGGCTGCGGTGGCCTCAGGCCTCCTAGCAGCTGACAGAGCCAGTTTTAAAGTTTGGTCTCTTATTCAAACAGTGCAAAGTTTGGTATACCCAGTGAGAAAAGGCCCTCTGAATAACCACAAATAATCACAGTTATAGATAAAGGAATGAGTGTTGTGTTTTGAGGGAACAATGATTACTAAGCATATAATTAATGGTTTACAACAACTTAGAAAACTGAATGGTGCTTCCACAAATATCAGCTTCCACTACAATGATTACCATGTTTACCAAAGAGTTCCTTTTTCCTTTAAAATGAAGCCAGCAAGTCAGTTCTGCAAATGTCCCTTGTTTCTCTTTTTAGGGTGGGGTAGGGGGTGTGAGGCAGCATTTATCCTAAACTGCTCTTTTTGGTTTTTTGTTTTTGTTTTTCAAGACAGGATTTCTCTGTGGCTTTGGAGGTTGTCTTGGAACTAGCTCTTGTAGACCAGGCTGGTCTCGAACTCACAGAGATCCGCCTGCCTCTGCCTTCCAAGTGCTGGGATTAAAGGCGTGCGCCACCACCGCCCGGCCCTAAACTGCTCTTGACTTTGCTATGTAGCTGAAGATGACACTGAATTTCTAACCCTGCTACCACTACCTTCTAAGTGCTGGGGCCACAGCTGTGCCATTATAGCGGCTTTACGTAGTGCTGGGGAATGAGCCCTGGCTTTGTGGGTGCTAGGCAGGTCCTCTATCAACTGATCTGCACTTGACAGCACTTATCTTTTCTGCACAGAGCACTGCCTTCTACTATCTGAAGCTGCTGCACTTAGGACACTCACTTAGCCAATAAGAACAGGACCCTAGTGAGATGCTGTGCTAGCCAGATCCTTTGTGCAGGTGAAAAGAATCATTCTCCATGGGAACAGTTGAGTAATTGTAAGGAGGAAAGAAAACACACATGGGCACCAGTCCCAGATTCCAATGTTGAGGAGACGCCAGTCAAGTATCAGCAGGCAGTGATCCTGCTTCAGAACAGTGAAGAGATGTCTGACTCCTTCTGCTCACCAACAATGGCAGTCCCAGGCCTGAGTAATTTTTAATGTTCATATTTGTGAGTCAGTGAGTATAAGTGAGTAATCTACTTGATTGAAAGAAGGATGTATAACCAGGTGTTGGTAGCACACACCTTTAGTCCCAGCACTAGGGAGGCAGAGGCAGGCAGATCTTCGGAGCTCAAGGCCAACCTGGTCTACAGAGCTAGTTCCAGGGCAGCTAGGGCTACACAGAGAAACCTTGTCTCAAGAAAAAAAGGAAGGAAGGAAGGAAGGAAGGAAGGAAGGAAGGAAGGAAGGAAGGAAGGAAGGAAGGAAGGAAGGAGGAAGGAGGAAGGAAGAAGGAAGGATAGGCCTTTTCTCATCTCTAGGTCAGATAGAAGGAACGAGACGAAGGAAACCAAGTACTAAATGTGTTGTCTTCTCATCTTTCTCAGCCTGTCTCTCAGAAGGATGGGCTGAAACGGGGCAATGACAGGTGGGAGAAATCATAGACTTCATAGCATACGATGTCTATTTCTGTAAGCTTTTTACAAATTTTTTACAAATAAAGAAGTTTAGGTGAAAAGTTGCTGTTCTCCTGTCCCGTAAATGAGTCCAACCCATAGGAGCCTACACTATGTCATGGTTCTAGATGTCGGGACAGGAGGGCTGACAGCCAAAGCTCAAAGGAAATTGAAGCACTAATAAGAAAGCAGACAAGCTGCCACTCACTCGAGGAGGGAGGTGCTGGATCCTTGCTCGTGCTACTTTTTGCTTGTTGACAATGCTCATCAGCTTGAGAGCGTCTGCACCCTTCACATATACCACTGGCCTCTTAAGAGGATCTTCTGAGCCTTGGTTTAGCTGACAAAGAAGAGGGCACCAATTAAAAAGACATACTTACTTTAAGAAAAAAGAGAGGGTTTTGACTATTGAATGTTGCTCAGTGGTAGAACGTTTGTCTGGCACATGCAAGGCCTAGCTTTCAACACACATGCACACACAAACAGGCACACGCTCTCTCTCATGCATGCACTTAAAAACACTAAATCCCCATTTGGAAATTCTTGAAGTCTTCAAGCATTATAGCCTTGAGATTCCCAGAAAAGTGAGGATAGGGTGCTATACTTGTCTTAAGATGGGCTGAGATGGCTGAAAGCCCAGAAGACTACTTGAAAATGTCCCTCATCCCTAACCCCGACTCATAACCACTTTCTATATGGCTCCCTCGTGGTACAGGCACATTACCTCAGGAGACAGGTACAAAGAATCTGAGACAAGGGTGTCACAACAAGGTCCACTCAAGATAACCAAAGCAAATGCCTCTCAGGCAGACAGTAGGACTGGTTTTGGTGGAGATTTACCTGGTCAATGGCTTCTGGGTTTTCAGATACATCAAAGATAACTGCAGTGGCTCCCCGCTGAACTGCTCTCTTGGCCTGGGGGAATGAAAAAGAGCAGGTTGGCAACTCTGTCTTCTGACTCTGCCAACACTGGCCTTACAAATTAGGCATGGCTTCAAATGTAGAACCAGACAGCAAGCAGTATCTGTGTCCCTTTCCCACACCTTGACATTCTCATCTGAAAATCAGGAGACACCACCACCTGCTTTGTCCTATCATCCCAAGAGCCTGGTGACTTAGAATGGGTGGAAGTGAGTAGCTACTACTGTAGAAGCCTGTCTCCCCTATTTAGCTGGAACATTAAAAACAAGTCTATGGGTGGGCAGCATGCCCAACTGGTACAACTGGTACAGAGGTACTGGTTTTGGTATTTTCTGCTATGAACACACTGCCGTTGGCAACCAGTTTGTCTCTTGTGGTCCTTTCTTCCTTCCCATGCTATCCAGATAGAATAGCATGTTGACTATTTCTGAATGAATCTCAAAATGGTCACTTTTAACACATGACACAAGCTGAAGACCTTTTAGAGACACTGTTGGGGGCAGTTTACAAGAAATAATAAGTGGGGATTTAGAACAGTTAGCTGCCAAGCCTGAATGCACATCAAAAACCACTTGGGAAGTTTGCAAAGCAGATTTCCTGGCTCTGACCACAGAGATGAGTCCAGTGGGGCTGGAGGCAGGTTCAGAAAGCTGAGTTCCACAAGCTCTCGGGGCTCAGATGATCCTACCGGTTGGAAAACTAGAGGTCAGAGGGACAAGACAAGAAGGCTTAGAAACAAACAAGAAGCGATAGATTTTTTTGTTGTTGGGGTAGAGGAAAATATGGGAGAAAAGATCCCTTTCCACCTCAATGAACCTTCCTTCTAATTTTATCTCCAGCTATCTGAACAACCGAGTTGAGTCTGCAGAAGAATAAGTGAGACAGACCCTCACTTTTAGGATTTGAACTACTGCAACAGAGACAGCTGGTCATATATATGGAGGAAAACAAAACAAATTCCAAAACTAGCATGCTCAAAGATGGGGCATATATCATCTAGTGTTCAGAAGCTATGTCACTGGGGGTCCACACAGTGAATAAATCCAGTAAATAAACAATAAATCCAAATTCCTTCCACAAGAATAATCTGTACCGACAGGTGCACAAACCCTAAGGGCATCAACAAGAACGAATTTACTGGACCACTAGAGGGCAGTGTCACCTTGTTGCTTTTTAAGCCCATCTCCTGCACTTGAGAGTCAAAAATTAGTGACATTGGGGATAAAGCATGTCCCTTGGGAGCTTAAGAAATTCAGGAATATTGGGTGCAGTGCTGTAGGATTTGTCCTTGTCCTACAGGTAGCTTCTTTAAAAACAAATTGAGACTGAACAATCCGAGAGTCAGCTGAGGGTTACTTCACTGTTTTATCACTCAATGACCACAAGTGACTAGAGGGTTGTTCCTGCCAAGCTTCAGCTTTCTTTTTTCTGCTAGGTAGTGTTGGGGGTCAACCGTGGGCTTTATTCATGGTAATCAAGTGCTCTACCCCTGCATCTTTCAGTCCCAGCCTCAGAACAGCCATGGCCCTGTCCTAGGCCAAGGTGAGATAGCATGACTTCTTCAGTAAGTTCCTCAGGGCAGCAGACTTCTACCTGAGAGTGTTCCTAGACTCCTGAGTAGGTGCTTGTATTTCTGCCCCAGCAGTACCCTAGGCCTCTTCACAAATTCCATTCCCAGAGGAAGAAATAAAGAGGGTCTCTCATTCTTTTATTCTGCTTTCATCCAAGGATCCAGTATATCAAACAGTACCTGTAGGAAGTGTGAGTTAAGATATTTCCTGCCTGGAGTGCTTTGCTTGTCCATCCAGCTTTGAAGCTGGTGCACCTGGAGAGGCTGGCAGAGGCTGCAGTGCCTGGGTAGGAATGCCTTCTTGGAATGTGCCTCAGGGAAACCACACAGCCAGAGGGCCTCCTTGGTTTCCCCATATTTCTTGTTTTACAAGAATATGAACATTCATTTGTTTCAGAGGCATGGCCCATCCAGGACAGACATCACAGAGCTGGGGAGTGAATTCTGGGCCTCATCCATGCCAGGTATGTACTTTACCATGGGACTATATTCTCAGCCGTACAAAAGATGCTTTAAAACATACATGGTTTTGTCAGTCATGGTGGTACAAATCTTTAATCCCAGCCCTTGGGAGGCAGAAGTAGGGGACTCTCTGGGTTTGAGGTCGGCCTGGTCTACAGAGTGAGTTCCAGGATGGCCAGGGGTACACAGAGAAACCCTGTCTGGAAAAACAAAATCAAATAAAAAACAACAAACAAACAAGCAAAAATACCTTGTTTCTTTGTTGAGGAAGGCAGGTAGAGAATAAATAAAGTGCTTAGGTTTCATCTACAAGTCAACCTCAGACAAATCACTAATGCAAGGAATCTAAATCTGTGGCTGAGAAAATGCTTGATTTTCAGTGAATTACATGGAAACTTTTATTTATTGAGGACAGAGATGTAGTACATTTGGCAGAACGTGTGACAACCACGCATGAAGCCCTAGCACTTTATAAAGGGATCCTTAGCATGGTAGAAAACTTGTGTGGGATCTGTAACTTCAGTATTTGAGAAGTAGAGGCTGGAGAATCATAAAATTCAAGGTCATTTAGCAAAAAGAATTTGAGGGCAGTTTGGATCACATGAGACTGGTTTTGTTTGTTTGTTTGTTTTTAGATTATATGTATAAGCTGCTACTGAAATAATTAGTATTTCCAGCACTGTAGATCAGGACTGGATGGAAGGAGAGCCTACTGAGATGTTGCCGATTGAGAGGTGGGTGGCTTTAGAAAAGACTGATGGTTGGGGATATTACTCAGTGGCAAAGTATGCTAGCATGCATTTATCTTGAGTTTGTTTAATCCTCAAGAAAAGGCCACCAGGGGCTGGAGAGATGGCTCAGAGGTTAAGAGCACTGGCTGCTCTTCCAGATGTCCTGAGTTCAATTCCCAGCAACCACATGGTAGCTCACAACCATCTATAATGAGATCTGGTGCCCTCTTCTGGAATGCGAGCATACATGCAGTATACATTAAAAATAAATAAATAAAAAGGCCACCAGTAATCTTCATTTACAAAATGGGAACTTTCATTATATTTTAAAAACATAAAATATTGCTTGGTTACACTTTTCCTCCTGCCCCAATGTAATTTAAAAAACTCTGAGGAGTCATGTTCTTTGAACAAATTTTACAATTTTATCTAGTCAACCTCCTGCCAGATTACTGTATTTCAAACAAATCTAAATCCTAGCTAGAAGATGACTAGAGTAAACTTTATTTTTATGACCTTATACTCTTAAAGCTGCTTGAAAGGATGGGAAGACAGCGTGGTGGGTATGGCAGATGAGGGTCACAGGAATCAAAGAGCAAAAGGCTGTGGCTTTCTCAGAAGATGTGTGACATCTTGGCAAAACTGAGTAGCAGCCAAAGGCCTTGCCTTGCTAATCCTTACTATCAGAGGTGTCTACACACACACACACACACACACACACACACACACACACACACACACACACCTACCTATAAGGCCATCATAATGGAACCATTCTCATCAGAATGCTGTGTGTGTGTGTGTGTGTGTGTGTGTGTGTGTGTGTGTGTGATATGTATGTGGTTATATCCAGACTTGTTTGGGGCTCAGACCTACCAATCAATACCTGCCCTTTGGAGCCTCTGAGATACATTAAATTTTGTTTGTTTACTTATTCCTTTGTTAAGCACTTACATGTAATTTCCCTACTGTCTGAGCTTTATTGTAGGAAAATTATAATCTCAGTAGGAAATAACAAAAAAAAAAAAGACAGAAAAATCTTTGCTCTGGAGTCTTTTTTTCATATTTAGGTTTTTTTTAAATAAAGATTTATTTATTATGCATACAGTGTTCTGTCTGCATGTATGCGCAGGCCAGAAGAGGGCACCAGATTTCATTTCAGATGGTTTTGAGTCACTATGTGGTTGCTGGGAATTTAACCCAGGTTCTCTGGAAGAACAGACAGTGCTCCTAACCTCAGAGCCACCTCTCTAGCTCTGCTCTAGATTCTTGATGAGGGAGTAACTAAGGAGTTGGACTGTCAATAGCTAATTGGAAGATGTGTCTATAGCTTCTTATGGAAAGTTCTGATATATAGAGATTTGTGGCTCTACTGAACATAATTTTATTTTTTTTTAATTCTTTTCTTTTTCCAGATAGGGTTTCTCTGTGGCTTTGGAGGCTGTCCTGGAACTAGCTCTTGTAGACCAGGCTGGTCTTGAACTCACAGAGTGATCTGCCTGCCTCTGCCTCCCGAGTGTGGGATTAAAGGTGTGTGCCACCACTGCCCAGCATCTTTTAAAAAAATTCTTAACATAAACTACCAACAAGTTCTTAAAAACCCTTTCTGTCTTTGCCAGCCCTGGGGTCAAACCTAAGGCACTGCACATGGCTAGGCACACACTGAGTGACAGCTCTACCCTCTAACACATACCTTTAAAAACTATTGAACTTTCAGTTTTATGTACATTAGCATTTTACCAGCACGTATGTCTGTAAGGGTGTTTACCCTCTGGAACTGGAGTTACAGACATGAGCTGCCATGTGAGTGCTGGGAATTGAACCCAGGTCCCCATGGAAGAGCAGTCAGTGCCATCTCTTCAGTCCTTTCATCATCATCATCGTCATTGTCATCATCATCGCCATTATTTAAAGAGGGTCTTGTTATGTAGCCTTATGTCTTGAACTCATGATCCTGCCACCTCAGCAACCCAAGTGTTGAGATTACAGGTATATACCAAATGCATGGCTTCTTATAAATTTGTTTGCTCATTTTGAGACAAGGTCTTACTATGTAGTCTTGGTGGCCTGGAACTCATTAAGTAGATCAGATTGGCCTCAAACTCATAAGAATCTTCCTGCCTCTACATGTTGGGATTAAAGGTGTGTGCCACAACACCACGTCCCTACATAATCTCTACTCCTTTCAGAGGTCAGTATTAGGGCCTCACACACGCTAGGCAAGCAATCTA